TGCTCGCCTTGACGACTGATCAAGACCAGAATGATCCCTTAACATGCATTCCTCTTTCTAAAATTTGATTGCCATCAAAAAGTTATATACTGAACTTAGAAACAGCTACAACTAAACTTTAAAAAAATTCAGAGGATCTCTGCAAAAGGACCTCGAAAAATTCCGAAAAACTGTGAAATACTTAATTATTTTAAGTGCAATGCCAGCAGACATACTTCAATAGTTTGTCTAATTGCATCCAATCGATCTGAACCTCGGTATATCCACTCGTCTACGTGTTGGTGGCGCTGACAATCAATAGCCACACAATCAAAACCATGTTTCCGATGTATTGGAAAGCGCAATAAGGCAAACTGCCTGTCCGTATCCAATACAAAAGCAGAGTATGCAACTGAACCCCTCAACACCTTAAATTCTGCGAAATTAGCTGTGAGATTTGAGCTCTAATGCTTTAATTACTAAGAGCTATGCATAAAAGTTCTTGTAACTCAAAGGTAGTCATTCTGAAAAACTAGTTTTCTCAAAATAAACTTTTGTTTCAAGTCAGGTTTTATTTAAAGCAGTCGTTGCTTCGCCAAAAACCGGTCAGCTCCATCGTAAATACGTTGTCCTGAGCTCAATACTTATTCTTGCTGGTATCGACTTCAGTATACAGTAGTCTTACAGTGGTATGAATGTAAAGATTTAGAGACGGGAATACAAAAAAATAATAAAAGATTTACTAGGACGTATGAAGGGAGATGTGGGGGACTAAATGTTAGTAAAATCAAGAAAAAAATAGTAAATGATAAAAAAACAGGTCTCATTAAAATGTTATAAAAACAGCAGCTGCCATCACTTCCAGATCTTGCTAGAAGGCACAAAAGAAGGCTTCAGTTAACCTCATCCAACCACAGTATTTACTCATTGTTACTCTCCAATGTTGGATGTTGGAAAAATTGAGCTGGTCCTCCTGTACAGCTGTCGAACCTGTAGCTAATTTTCTTACTTTGGCAAGAATAGTGCTCTCGTTAAATTCTGCTCCTGTTTGTTATCGCATAAGAGAGAATGTAAACTTTTACACTAACTATCCTCTTGCTTGCAACTTGATGCTGCGCTGACTATGATTCACTGACCAAAGTAACTTCTGTCCTCTTATATCACTAATGCAGTGAATTTCAAGATACTGCAATTGGAAACCCTAATAAAGCCTGAGAACTTATTAAACTCCCTTTTCATCGCAACAAATATTGCAGAACATCTTGCGTGGTAAAGCATCACGCTCTTCAACAAAGTTTTTGTCCTTCCTGTACTTTACGCACAATAAATTTTCCCTTTTGGAACAGGCTGGCGTATCAAGAAAAACTACCAGCAAATACCTTTTTGGAATACAAAATTACTTTATGCAATGTGTCTGTTTTCTCCAAAAGTTCTAGCAAACATTTTCTACCCTCAACTAATTCGTTTCTTACTAGATCAAAAGTCATCACAAAACCAACACATTTCACAAGTTTTAACTAATCTTGAAAACTGAAGAAATTAGTAAGATTACGTTAACGCGTTGGGTATTAGTACGCCGCTTCATTCTCACTAACTGCCAATCAGGAAATTTCCTCAGATAGTGTTTTAAAAACAACTGCCTCGACTTTGGAGCCAACTCCCAATTAGAACGGTTGTCAAACTCCTGAAACGACTTTTCTAAGCGAAAAAACAAAATTAAACTAAGTGTTATCCTACTAAAGAAAGAATGCGCATACTGGAGTTGTCATCCTCGAACATTTTGATTTTTCAAAGGCTCTCACTCAGAACGACAGCAGGTAGGAGGAGAAAAATTTCTGCCCACTGAGAAACATATAAAAGAGGGGGAATCAAGAAGTAAAAGAAGTCGCAGAAGTTAGAAGTTCAAATAAAGCCCTAATAATGCATATAGGAGTAATTTAATTTTGCTATGCAATGCCTCTACTCTTCAGTAGTACTGAAGCAGAATGCAAGAAGTATTACACGGTTTTATACATAAGCGCCGAAAACGTGATTCAAGTCAACTTAAATAATAAAAGAGAAGCAATGTAAACGAAGAAGTTGGCAACAACACCACGACAAATTGTTTTGTGCTTTCATTCTAGTTTTTTCCAGCGTGTACACTTTTTGAAGGCAAATCTGTACAATTAACCAAATTACGCTATTCAGAAATTCTGCCAAGTGAATTGCAGATAGAAAATAAAGCAGGGTAGCTAACGCTTAAACAAAATAACTGTGCAGGACAACTTTTCATTAACAGAGTACGCTCATGCTATTGGTAGAACAAAAACTGATGTATTAATTCCACCTCCCCTAAGGGCGGACACGTAGCAAAATGCAGCATATGAGGTCCAAAAACTTTTACAAAACACTTTTTTTGTACAACGAATTCTAATGCACAGAAATTTCTGAACCAATTTTGATCATACCGATTTTTGCAAACTATCAGTGAATTGATTTTCCTCTTTCCTTAACAGTGTCACTGAAAGAATCTTCAAAAAAAAAGAAGCAAGAGGCAATTCCAGTTAAGTACTCTGTGATTAGTACCAAAAACTACCTTCTTTCCATTTTTAAACTGATAACACTGCTCGGTTAATAAGCACACATTTTGTTTCAAAACCAGTCCATCAGCACCATTGTCGAAAAATACCTGAGCGATTTAAGAAGTAATTTAAGAAACTATAAAACAGAAAAAACTGAAGTTCCCCGTAAAGAAAAAAGTTTAAGGATGGAATAAAAAGCAGAAATCTAAAAGCAAATACCAAAAGTTCTTTGGAAGCTCCGTAAGGACCCATCCCTACAGTCCCTGCATAAATTGCACTTTCGTATTTATCATTTTCAAGTCTGAAATGAATTTAGCATTTACCCAAAGAAAAATCTAGAGGAAAATTGCAAAAACATTAACGAAAACCTTTTTTTATACAACGCGCAAATTCGCATCCCCTCCCAGTTTTTCAAATTACTACTAAACTCAACAGCTACACGCGAAAGATCGACGTCATCCTCTACCTCTCCATTATCAAACTGTATTTTGTAACTCTTTCCGTTTGCCTAAATAAATTAAGGCAGGAAGTTAGAAAGTATCATGTTTTTCTTTGCTAGCATTAGTTTCCAATACGCATTCGAAAAAATTACCACAAGAACTCGAGCACCAATGAAGTTAGAGGCGTTAGACTGCCGTGCGAAAACTTTAACTCCTGATGGTATTTCTTCAAGGTTTAAATCGTCAGCATCGACGTAATCATCAACTTCATCAAACTTCCTCCGAACAAAATTCACCACACTAATTTCCTCTTGACCCTGTTAATCAATCGGTTTAATGGTTTAAATTCAATCAAGCGGTTTTATGAATTATACAACGCTTTCCCTGAAAGACGTGCTCAATAAAAAAAA